ATGAATTGGGGAACTAAGATAAGATTTGCTTTAGATATTTGTCGTGGTGTCGCGTATCTCCATGAATGTGAGGTAAGAAATTTAAAAATTCGTTAATTTTTTGAATCTGTTTTTTTTATAGATCTATTTAAAAAAAATTTTGTTATAATTAGATCCTTCATCATGATATCCAGTCGGCAAATATTTTAATAAATCAATATCACAAGGTTAGAATAGCAAACTTTGGTCTAAGTAAAAAATTTTCAGATATTACTAGAAATATTTCAAATAATCTAGAAAATATAAGATATATGGCTCCAGAAAAATTATTATATGATAAAAATAATAAGGATAATAAAACGAAAAAGGTTGACTATGATACTAAATGTGAAATTTACAGGTAAATCGAATTTTTAAATCATAAGATCGCGATAAGACCTTTTTACAATATAATAAATTTATTAACTTTTTAATATTACATAGCGTCGGAGCATTACTGTGGGAAATTGCAGAATTAAGAAAACCTCATTCTGATCTAGATAAATCAGAAATACTCGGTAGTATTAGAAAACGTATGCAAGAAAAGTATTATGAACCATTTTCAGATGATGTGCCTGGTGAATGGAAACAAATTGTATCTAGAGGTATGTTACAATTGATAAAATAATAAAAGTTCTAAATTTAAATTCTTACCATTTTTTTTCTCAATTTTATTTTAGCTATGGAGTATGAACCAGCGTGGCGTTCTACTATTTCTTGTATTTGTCGCGATCTTTATAATTTGATAGGTCCTCGTGAATACACTAGTTCCAATTCTAATTTGGAAAATAAAGTCTCAACGCCCAATTATTCTTCAGAGAGTTACAAGGAAAATATATCAACTAATAATAATCAAAGTTCATCACCCGTTACTTTAACAATTCTCCCTGTTGGAGATGCAATTCGCGAACACAAATCCAGCAATGGAAGCAAACAAGTTGCATGGAATAGTTTTAAATTTCACTCAATAACCAATGTTGAGGCAAGATATTGGGTAGGATATTATTATTTTTACCATGGTGAAGAAATACCTGAATTAAGATCAATTCATGAAGAAGAAAGGATCAAAAATGCCATTGATATATTTAAAGAAACTGCTGATAAAGGAAATTCTTCCGCTCAATTAAGATATGGAATGCAT